TGCATATTGATGAGGTATGTGCATATTGATGAGGTATGTGTGCATATTGATGAGGTGTCCGAATATTGATTAGGTATTGTGCATATTGATATAGTACGTGTGCATATTGATGAGGTATGTGTGCATATTCATGAGGTATGTGCACATTGATTGAAGCATCACATGTCAGGTCACAATCAACTTGTAAGTATTTTTGCTCTATATATTTTTGTTACTTTGATTTCAATGTCAATAATGTGTGTGGCTGCCATAATCATAGGTTGCCAGCAAATGTACAATTAAAAGTAAATGTGCATGTTTTCTTCATGTGATAAAAAATTACAAATATTTATTTGAGCTTTCTTCTTCTAATTCCCAAGGCCAAGGAAGAAAAAGAGGAAATGGAAGATCTGCAAGCATACAACAAACGTCTTTTGAATAATATACTGCCTTCATTTGTAGCGGAGTACTTTCTGCGACATGATACTAAGGATTCAGATCTTTACTACCAAGATTGTGAATGTGTCTGTGTCATGTTTGCATCAATTACGAACTTTTCAGAATTTTATGTTGAACTAGAAGGAAACAATGAAGGGGTTGAATGTCTTCGGTTGTTAAACGAGATCATTGCTGATTTTGATGAGGTGAGTTACTTTACAAAGATGCTGCTGTGAAATTGACAAATAAAATCATAGCTGATGACCACTAGAGGGATGCCATTATTGTCACTAGAGGGGGGTATAAGCTATATAGCATGGCTCATGTGTTTGTTTGTTTGTTTGTTCTTCTCTCCACAGATTATTGGTGAGCCTCAATTGAGCAATATTGAAAAGATCAAAACTATTGGTTACACGTACATGGCAGCGTCTGGTCTGACGGATGAAACAAACGACAAAATTGGCAAAACTCATGTGGCTGCGATGGCGGAATATGCTTTCCGAATCAGAGATCAGCTGGCCTATGTTAATGAACATTCATTTAATAATTTCAAAATGAGAGTGGGTAAGTTTCGAGTGATTGCTGTATGGTCAAAAATAAAATAAAATTTGTTGTTTTTTAAAGAGATCTCATATAATTGTGTTTTTATAATGATTTTTTGTTTTTAAATCAAACGTGGTGCACTTTATTGGTAAATTGAGACACAGGTTTTGACGTACATGATGAAGAGAAGCACCATTTTTTCGTCCTAATTTCAACTGTGAGACGCTTTTGATTTTATCTTTCCTTCATCAATTACAAAGCAGTCTATTTGCACTCTGACATTCTTTGTATGTCTCTTTAACTAGGATTAAACGTAGGCCCTGTGATAGCCGGAGTGATTGGTGCTCGTAAACCACAGTATGACATTTGGGGAAATACCGTAAATGTCGCTAGTCGTATGGACAGTACGGGTGTCTCTGACAAGATCCAGGTGACGCAGGAAACTTATAACATACTATCTCAAAAAGGATACACATTGGAATGCCGAGGGGTCATCAAAGTCAAGGGCAAGGGTGAAATGTTGACGTATTTCTTAACAGGAAGACCCAAGGAAAAACATTGATATTTATACTTTAAAATAACAGCTTATTGTATTTTTTCAACTCTTTTAAAAGATGTATATATTACATAAATATGGTGTAATTTTCAATATTTTGTTGTTGTTTTTTTTAAAACAAAAAGGTAGATCATTCATATATCTTTTATTCAAGTCCTCTTCCATTGCAGACATGTTTGCTTCCCGTCTACTCTATTGCTTTATTTGAAATAAATTAGTGATCACAAAAATTTATTGAATCTATTTCGGAACTGGAAAAGAAACATCTGTGTATATTTTTTGATTATGTACCATATATTTGGATGCTCAGTCAGATATGTTACTATATAATAATACTTGCTCATATTTCATGGCCAAGTACATTGTATCTCAGGAGGTTTGTTTCCGTAACTTATAGGACACTTAGTCTTGTATTATTGGTATTGCATTTACATGTAGTCGGCATTAATGTACCCTTAGTAACCAAAATAAACAAAGTTACTTTGTAGCATTTACAGTTAAGCCAGCGTGTATTCTGGTATCTTAGCAACAGGTATCAGGGTTGAAATTTCATTTGTTTTAATATGGATTAAATACCAATTATTTGTTGTGAGATTTGACACTCTTTTAGTTGCCTACTGGGTCTACATTTACTCTTAGGCTGGTAAGCATAGTTTTACAGTACGGTGGTCAAATGGATGAAATTAAGTTACTTAAAATTTAATTTATATCTTACTATTTGTGTCTTTTTCACTTTCTTATTTTCAAGTCAGTTGTGCAAAGTATTATGAGTGATAGTCATTACAAAGAATGAATTTTGTGTTTAAAACAATGTATTTTGCATCCTATGGGTCTATGTCAAATTCACAGCACAAAATAACTGCTCGAAGTCCTCGTTAAATTTTTGCTTTCTATTTTACTGCGGGCTAAGAAGTGTATTGTGTGGACCACCCCTTACTGGAGACCTTTTTGCTATATGAACGAAATTGCTTGACTAATTTAAAATTTAGTAGACAGTGTCTATGCTATTTAAGATGGGGAAGGTGGGTCCCTTCAAAACTATCACAAACTCAGAGATGTACCTTTTATCACAGACTGTAAATAATTATTTTGAAAATCTGTATTCTGTAAATTTTGGTGTCACCATATTTTTGTTTCCGTTAGATGAATATTTTATAGAAAAGGTTGTATATTTCCTCTGGTATGAAGACTTCCATTCTGAGTGTAGTATAGTAATCTTGGTATAACTACGATAACAGATTTTATTTATTTGTGCTATGTCTGTTTCATCTTACAGGAACGATATCTATTATTTCTGCCGAAAAGATATTTGTTTTTGAAATATGTCCATTTTCCCCAAAAAAACTATCTTTGTAACTACCACTTTAATATATAAAGAACCACTGCATGAAGATGATAATAATAATTGTTTTCAAAACTAATATTTTCTAAATTACAGCTGTTCAAAATGGCCTCCGATCAAAACAAATTATAGTTACCATAGACAGACTAACAATTTTTTTTTTAATATTTGGGATCAATCATATTTGATAACTTATTTCATATTTATAAATTCCTCCATTTTAATTGTGCACGTAGAAATAAACTACCGCAATAAGGCAATGGAAACACAGGCATGCAGATTTGCTGGTAAGAACATTCGATTAAAATTGGATGAATTGATTGTAAAATGTACACATAAAGCATTTGTTGAGACAAAACTCAATCAGATCAAATGCTGCACCTCTGTAGTGGAGATCACTACTTGAATAATGACAGGGATTGGAGATGCACAGCTTCTGAAAATTGTTTGAAATGGGTCTTTATCCCCCTCCCCGATTATTTATTTTTTCATAATGCAATACAAGACACTGTTTCATCACCTCTACTTGCACAGGTCCTGTTTCACTATTTCCCCAATGTACATGTATTAATTCTGTAATCCACATAAAGTAATATCACGTTTGTCTAAAAAAAAAAGGTCTGTACCCTCATTTTCACATATGATCTTGTATAGCAATAAGCAATCTGTTCGCAAAATATAAAAAAAATTCCAAAGAATTCTACTGAACTGTATTAAACCAACTTAAAAACAAACATTAAATTATACAATGTCTGTATAACTGTGCGCTTATGTAGACTGTAGACCTGATTTTGTGGAGCATGTTAATTTAATTGTCTACGACAAGGTGCAACATTAATCATCTCAATCACTGGTGTTATTGTCGTGGCTTTAATATAATGTTGTGTTGGAGCTGGGTGTGCATCACAACTTTCAATTCTGAATGCCTGCATTTCCATTGCTGTATGTGAATTAACATTTCGAATGCCAAAGTCAATTTTTGTCACCTTTCACAGAATAAATCTACATAATTTTATCAATACTTTGATCATAAATCAGACAATGGGAAATCTATTTTGTCCAAAGTTACCAAAGAAATTGTAGAAAACTATAAGTGTGCCAAACTTTGCACCAAGATTTTTAGGGACAAATATGGAATAATAAGCTGAAATCAATTTGCTATCAAGGAATAATACTATATCAATATGCTTTATGAGATGAGATGATGATGAGAGGTGCAATCAAATATGTAAATTAAGCTATTAATATGCAGTTGATCCAGATGGTGAATTCAGATGAGTCGATTTAACATGCGTCTCATCGAATGCATGGCTTGACAAATCAGAAGGTCCATATATTGAATAAGTGTGTCAGGAAAAGAGATGTAAATATTCAAGCAATGAGAAGCTCTTACCAGGACATACTTCCCAGGTGACCAGCTTTGGATTATTGTTAAGCCCTGGTTTGCAGTTATTTATGGGACTGTCATTGTTTATTAGTATATAGTGAGTTAGAGAGAGAGCCAGAGATCATGACTGGCAGAGTTTCTGCCATGTACTTGTTGGTCACACCTATCAAGTAGAGAATTTTACAGGTTTTTTGGGAGATACCTGTTACATTTTTGGAATAAAATATATATATTTTGTATGATAGTCACAAGATAAAATTGCTAAGACACTGCGGTCAATGCGACCTTGAATCATATTGGGTTCATTGAACTGTATATGTCATGACAATCTGAAAAGTACCAGTCGGTTTCCATATTTTATATTTATCAATAAGTTAAAGGAAATAGAAATGTATTTATTTTAGCAACATAGATTTATTAAATCACTCCTCATTTTATGTTTATATTACAGAAAAACAAATCGGAAATTATTTTTAGGTTGAATTTAAAATGATTATTGTTTATCCTGTTTCATCAACTCAAAATATGATAACCCCGCATTTGGAAAAAGTCACCCATCATATATTCCATCGGATTTTACTTTGTTCATTAGTGTCGTTATTTATTTATTCATACATACCAAAGATGGAGTAACATACCATTATGTACTAGAGAGTTAAAAATATGTTTTAATAATCAAAATAATCATCGAATATATGATGCCAAATTGGGATTCTTTTGAGCATACATACATGCACAGTGGAAGGTCCTAATCTGTGATGCTGTAATGGTTATGTATATTATTGATATAAGCCGTGCTTTCCCTGGTCATATAAACCTGCTTAATTATCACACATCATCCAAAATTTAGATAAAATAATAACTAATTTGAAAAAAAAAAATTCTGAATATCCTGATAAGTGTTATTTATATTTCGGATTTAAGTCTTTTCCTGGATAAGAATCTAAATCAAGTTTTGTTGGTGGGTCTCATTATTATAGAAATTACATAACACTCAGTGCTCTTCTTGCTAGGCCACAGATAGTCTTTAGATTTCATCATGCCCATGATACTGTTCAGCTTAAATAAAAATAAAATTTTATGTGACATGCTTTAACTTTCCAACAAAGTATTGTTGATGGGGAGGGGGGGGGGGCAATCAAAATATCAAACCTTGCCAAATCAAAATTTGAAATCATTGTCAAATCAGCATCTAATTATTTTACTCATGAGGACAATTAATTGTAGTGATGACTTTGACTAGATTTAATTCATAAAATTATTTATTTATTTATGTGCATGTTTGTAAATCTTTTAAATTCATGTGCTGTGACATGTTGTAAATACATGGTACTATTTCAATGAAATTGATGTCTTTTTTTTGCTTCCCTTTACAAAGCATAAATGGAAGTTGTATGTCAGTATACGTGTGTCTTGATTTTGATATTCTCAAAAGCTGCTGAACAAATCTGACTCTGATGTCATGTCATTACATGCTTGCACTCATTTATACAGTCATAGCCATTTATGGCCATATATCATAGGCATTCACAGACATAGCCATTCATGGCCATATCATAGGCATTCACAGACATAGCCATTCGTGGCCATATATCATAGGCATTCAGTCATACCCATTTATGGCCATATCATAGGCATTCACAGTCATAGCCATTCATGGCCATATCATAGGCATTCACAGACATAGCCATTCGTGGCCATATATCATAGCCATTCAAAGTCAGAGCCATTTATGGTCATATCATAGGCATTCATGGTCATATCATAGCCATTCACAGTCATAGCCATATATGTCATATCATAGACATTCACAGTCACAGCCATTTATGGCCCTATCATAGCCATTCACAGTCATAGCCATTTATGGCCATATCATAGGCATTCATGGCCCTATCATAGCCATTCACAGTCATAGCCATTTATGGCCATATCATAGGCATTCATGGTCATATCATAGCCATTCACATTCATGGCCATATATGTCATATCATAGACATTCACAGTCATAGCCATTTATGGCCATATCATAGGCATTCATGGTCATATCATAGCCATTCACAGTCATAGCCATATATGTCATATCATAGACATTCACAGTCATAGCCATTTATGGCCATATCATAGCCATTCACAGTCATAGCCATTTATGGCCATATCATAGGCATTCATGGTCATATCATAGCCATTCACATTCACATTCATGGCCATATATGTCATATCATAGACATTCACAGTCATAGCCATTTATGGCCATATCATAGGCATTCATGGTCATAT